CGCGGTGGTGGCCTGTATCTGAGTCAAGTGAGCCTGTCACACATCCTCACTCGAGAGCAGCCGATTTGGAGACCACCGCATACGCCCTGCTCGCACTCAGTGACAATGACCTCACGAAGGCAGATCAACTGGCCACGATGAGGTGGATCTCGCAACAGCAGAACGAAAACGGTGGATTCTACTCCACCCAGGACACTGTGGTTGCGCTGCGTGCACTCACACATGCATCGCGTGTGTTCCCCTCACCAACGCGAAGCACACCAGTCAGCGTTCGCACGCATCCGCTTGACCGCGTGCACATCCTACTGGACGTCAACTCCGACAACCAGCTTGTTGCGCACACCTTCGAGGTTGGTGTGCACAATGAAAGCGACGTGAGGCATGTGAGTGTGCACATTCAGTCGCCTGATGCCGTCTGCATTTCTGCTCATGTTACGTCAATCTACAATGTGGCTGAAGCGAAGACACGCGACCAGGTCTTTGACATCGAGATTTCCACCGACCAAGGTGGCACCAGCTCAACTGCGGCATGCACCACTGCCATCACCACGGTGTGCTTGCGTTCACTGACAAGCGAACCCACGGGAATGCTGTTGGTGACGCTGCAGATGCCAAGTGGATGGACGGTTAGTGCGAGTGAGCTCAACAAAATCGCCCTCAACGCGTCTCTGCAGAAGATGGAAGTGGACGCACACAAACAGGAGGTGAGCGTGTACCTGAATGGATTCAGCTCAGCACAGGACACGGAGAGGTGCTTCACGGTGCCTCTTCACCAGCGCACATTCGTGGAGAAGGCGCAACCAGGCTTGATCACTGCATTCGACTACTACAACCCCGATGAGAAGGTGCAGTCGCAGCTGAAGTTGGACTCTTGCCAAGTCTTCTGGGATGCGCCCTCTGGAGGTATCCTCAACGATACGTCGCCTGTTACGTCGACCACACCGCCACCATCTACCACCTCCCCTGAACCTTCTGCCGTGTGTCCCAAATGCGAGCAAATTACTGCTGACGAGCTAGAACAGCGCTTGAATCAGTCGATTTGCCATTACGGCAGCCCACTTTACTTCTTCAAGCCCCGCATATCAGACAACCTGAGTTGAGTGTGCTCTGAAGACTGTCTTCGACGCACTCTTTCAATAACAAATCGCCGGCCAAGTGGTTAATGCCGAAATTGTACAGCACGATGTTGTGCATGAAAAAAATGGTAATTAATTCGGAAAAACACAGCAAGTGCTATGTAGATAGGGGTTGACGATTGCAGTGGTCATTGGACCTTGGCCAAATAGGAGGACGGCATTTCCAACTCAAAGTCTATGAGGAGATGTCCATTAGGGTAATGCGCGTGTGTGTGAGCCAAATCCAGTGTTGTCCAGTTTTCGTTCCGCTCAATACGCCTCCCCCACCTTCGACAAAAATCAACTAGCTATTTTGCACAAGTTATCTGACCACATTGAGCAAGAATTAGATTTGATGGGGTCAGCTGTGACCGCCTGCCAAGTACTCACGTGATTTGCGAACGGGTTTACTGCCCGCGAGGAAATTCCACTGCAATTTTGCCAAATGACCTCTGTTCTGCATTAAATGGACCTCTCACTATTTCCTAGACTTGCACGTATCTTCCTCTCAGTCACAAAAATGGGCAACCAAGGTGAAGCATGTTTTACACAAACGTGGATTTTGAACCGATTAGAGTGTGGTTAGTTTGCCAGTTCCCGACATGAATGCCCTCGTACGATGGTCCTCTTCAGTGCTATTTGTGGCAGGTGGATAACAGGTCTGAACCTATGCCGATATCAGCTGCCATCAAACATCACTTGACGTAATACGCTTCTAGTAATCGAAACCAAATCAGTTATTTGTAATCAACACCTGTTTACGTAAAACTAAGGAGGGACACAGGAATAGCCGCCGCGCGACAGCTTGTCGCCTATTTGATGAATATGGTTTGCATTGACATCGGCCGGAACAATGTTTGTGCAGATACCTCCATCTGTCATGGCGCACGCATTGTCCACCCATTAGTCCAGTAAGGCACTGTTACGTTTGCCTGTAACAATAGAGAATACCACTCAAATAACGGTACCAGATCCCTTGCTGACAGCTAGAACCGACCTT